CATGGACATATGCTTCCACTTCTCAATAGAATGACTGAATCATAAGGTAGGTAAGTGCACACTGAACGTTTTAAGACACTGCTAGACCACTACTGGGCATCTACCCAAAAGATCAAAAGTCACTTTATGAAAAAGACACCTGCACTCGAATGCTTATAGCAGCACAATTCATAATTGCAAAGCTGTGGAAACAACCCAAGTGCCCATCAATTCATGAGTGGATTAATAAAATGTGGTATATGTATACTATGGAGTACTAGTCAGCTTTAAGAAACAACAGTGATATAGCACCTCTTGTATATTTCTGGATACAGCTGGAACCCATTCTACTAAGTGAAGTATCTCAAAAATGGAAAAACCAGCACCACATGTACTCACCAGCAAATTGGTATTAACGGACCAACACCTAAGTTGACATATGGTAGTAGCATTTATCGGGTGTCGGGAGGGTGGGAGGAGGGAGGAGGGGATGGGTATATACAACCACAATGAGTAAGATGTGCAACGTTTCAGGGATGAACACGCTTGAAGCTCTTACTCAAGAGGGGAGGGGGAGCATGGGCAATATATGTAACCTTAACACTTATACCCCCATAATATGCTAAAATAAAAAAATAAAAATAAATAAATAAATAAATGCATTCTTATTCACACACACACACAAACACACACACACACACACAAAGACACTGCTAGAGGCCAAGGTGGGCGGATTGCTTGAGGTCAGGAATTCGAAACCAGCCTGAGTGAGACCCCGTCTCTACTAAAAATAGAAAAAAATTAATTGGCCAACTAAAAATATATATACAAAAAATTAGCCAGGCATGGTGGTGCATGCCTGTAGTCCCAGCTACTCAGCAGGCTGAGGCAGTAGGATCGCTTGAGCCCAGGAGATTGAGGTTGCTGTGAGCAAGGCTGACGCCATGGCACTCACTCTAGCCTGGGCAACAAAGTAAGACTCTGTCTCAAAAAAAAAAAAAAAAAGACACTGCTAAACTGTTTTTCAAAGTGGCTGCACCATTGTACATTCCCACCAGCAGTGTATGAGAATTCTAGTTGTTCTACATCCTTACCAACAATTGATATGGTCAGTCTTTGTAATTTTAGCCATTCTAGTAGGCATATAGTAATATCTTATTGTGATTTTAATTTTGCATTTCTTTAATAACTAATGATTTTGAGCATCTTTTCCAGTTCTTATGTGACATCTGTATAGTATCTTTGGTGAAATGTCTATTCAAATATTTTGCTCATTATCTATGGGATTGTCTGTATTATTGAGTTTTCTAAGTACTTTTTCTTCTATTTTTTTTCACTTAACATATATACAGTATGATCCTTTTTTAGAAAGAAATTAAAAATTTAGGAATCCAACCCATATGTGTAAATTTAGACAGTTTGGTAGTCCATACACCAAAACTATTAACCCTTTGCACTCGCTTGCTTTTTTCTCATTATCCACTCGACATTATCCACACTCGATATGAGTGCAAAGGGTTAACAACTATTACCAATAATTGTCTAGAGCAGAAGCAGTGAAGTTACTGGAGGACATACTTTATATATTTCTATATTGTTTTTCAACCACCATATAAAACGTGATAGTCGTTTCTCTTTGGTTGAGAGAAAGTTGGGGGGAAGTGAGTGCCAACACACACACATGCATGCATGCACAAAGCCAAAAATTCAGTAGCAGAAACCAAATGAGGAAACAATTAAGCCTCAAGTCATGAAGTTGAAAAAAATCATAGCTAAGAAAACAGAAGATTTAGCTCAGTGAAGCTCCTTAACTAATCCCTTCCAATGTGGCAATGTGCAGATTAAGCGAATGAGTAGGCAGTCCTGGGGTAAGTCAAGAAAAAACAAAATTCTTCAAAATTTGTAACTCCAGGTACCACTGTGGGACCTCAAAAGAGGCAGACAAGACTGCTGGAAAATGTCATCTGCCAGGGTGCTAGTATAAACTAGAGGATTTACCTAGAACTGAGACAAGTAAGCCCTACACCAGGACATTTAAGAGAATTTCAAGAGACAAAAACCCAGGACTTCAAGTTGCTTTCAACCCCTCCTCTTAGGTTATAAGAAAATAAATATATAGAAAGCAATATTCAGTTCTTAAACTTAAGTATAGCTGGGTATGGGAAATAGATAAATTGTTTCAAGTTGAAGTGAGAAGCCTGTCTAAAAGAATTCACATATACTACATCAGAGCAAACAAAGATATAGAAAAAACTTCCCATGTTAAACATGAGTGAAATGAAATTAAATCATCTGGCAGATATATAAATAGCCATGAAGTGGGGAGAGATGGAAACAATTTGCAGGATGAATGAAGAACCCAGTCTGGAGAAGCCTAGAATCCTAGGAAAATAAGTAGGTTTCTTCTCAGTGCTTCAGACTATAAGGGTACTTCATAAGAATATATATTCAAAATGGCATAAGAGTTTAAACACAAGATGATAAAATAATGAAATAAGAGAATATTACAGCAAAGAACAAATTAAAAACAAAATAAGATAATTTATTCAAATGATTAAATTGGAAATAGCAAAGAGTAAGGAAGGGAAGGAAGAAGGGGGTGAGGAGGAGACGGGAGGGGAGAGAAGAAAGAAAATGGCTGAAAACAAACAATTAGCATGGAGGAATGAGTTGGGCTAACTGTGGTTAATTGCTTTCATCTTTCTGTTTTTCTATTGCACAGTAAAAGAAAAGGACAGAAATGGAGGATAAGAAAATCCAGTATCCCTGAACACTATCAAGGAAAGACACAGAATGATCATCATTGAGTTACATCTTTGTTAAGTTACTAAATTTCAAGAAAAGAAATATTTTAGGTAAGTCCGATCACACATTCTCTCTCTCTCTCTCTCTCTCTCTCTCTCTCTCTCTCTCTCTCTCTCTCTCACACACACACACACACACACACACACACACACACCACACACACACACAGTTACCTACAAGGGAGAAAAACAAGAGTCAAGTTGTCCTCAGACTTCTTCACAGTTACATTCAGTGGCAGAAGAAAATGGAATACAACATATTGAGGGAAAGAAAATGTGACCTAAGAACATATTAATAATATCCAGCCAAGATACCATTCAAATATAAAGGCACTTGGTAGATGTTCTTAACATGAAAGAATGCAATAAATATACCACCCAGAAGCCCTTCTTGAAGGAACTTCTCAATGATGAAATCCAGAAAACAAAGAAATAAATCAAAGTAAAGAATTCAAGAATTGAGAAGTCATGGTACAAGGCCTGATTGTAAGCATATAATACTTTTGAATATGAAACTAAAACTAAACAGGTAAAACAAGCAAATGATTTATGGTTGTACAACAAAATGTAAATGTTATAAATCCTGACAAAGTAAAAATAATTTGAATAACAAATAGTGGGAATAGGGGAAAATAATTTGGAGGAAGTGTAAGAAAGCTCTTCCTCTTTCATAGCAGAGTCTACTGATAATATTTAATATTGAAGCAGGTAGATTTAGAAAAAAGACTGACCATTAAATCTACTCCTAGATATCTACCTTAGAGAAATGAGAACATGTGTCCATGCAAAACTCATAATGAAGTAACAGCAGTATTACTCTTGACAGCCAAAAAAGTGGAAACAATTCAAATGTCCATCAACAGATGAATAGATAAAATGTGATATATGTATATAATGAAGTATTTGACCATAGAAAGGAATAAAGTACTACAACATAGATGAACCTTGAAAATATTACATTAAGTAAAAGAAGACAGACATAAAGAACCATATGTCATATGATTCCATTTATAAGAATTATCCAGGATAGGTAAATATAGAGAGACATAAAGTAGACTGTTAATGACTTAGGGATGAGGAAGGATGGAGAGGTTGGGGCAGGGTGATAAAGTTTAAAGGGCTTCTTCTTCTTTTTTTTTTTTTTTTTTTAGACAGAGTCTCACTTTGTTGCCTGTGCTAGAGTGCCATGGTGTCAGCCTAGCTCACAGCAAGCTCAGACCCTGGGCTCAAGTGATCCTCCTGCCTCAGCCTCCCGAGTAGCTGGGACTATAGGCATGCGCCATCATGCCCAGCTAATTTTTTCTATATATTTTTAGTTGGCCAATTAATTTCTTTCTATTTTTAGTAGAGACAAGGGTCTCGCTCTTGCTCAGGCTGGTCTCGAACTCCTAACCTCGAGCCATCCTCCTGCCTTGGCTTCTCAGAGTGCTAGGATTACAGGCGTGAGCCATTGCGCCCAGCCAAGGGTTTCTTTTTAAGGTGGTGAAAATGTTCTAAAATAAATTGAGGTGATGGTTGCACAACTCTGTGAATATAATAAAATCCATCCATTGTACACCATAAATGGGTGAATGGTATGGTACATAAACTATATTTCAATAATGCTGTTACCAAAAAAAAAAAAAAGAACACTAAATAAGTGACTAACTGCACAATGGCTTTCATAATATGTTTTCTTAAGCTTAGAGGAATTTAATAACTAATATGTTTTATGGTTAAAAAGAATTTGCCTGAAGATTAGCAATTCTCCTATTTTAGTGTTTTATTCTGTTAAATTTAAGCAAAATTAAAAAGAATGATTTTAATTTATGATATAATATTCAATTTTTTTTCTGTTTATCTATCTAATCACCCTTATATTTATATATATAGAATGGTGATTTTCACATAATGTGAAAACTCGGGTAATAGGAACTTGGGTGATTGGTTGCTTTCCTCTTCCTTGTTTCATATAAATGGTTAAATTTTTAATGAGTATGTATTGTTTTTATTTGTCTTCAAATTGTTCTTATAAAGAACAAAGTAAATATGTCAAAATGTTAATGTTCACATGTGAGTATAGTAGGATTTTTTTCCTCGCTCTTTACTGTTTTCTGTACTTTCCAAATTTTTCTATAAAAAACATCTATTATTTTATAACCAGAGTAAAGTAAAAAGAATAAAAAAAGAATTAAAGGGACATTTTAGTACTTCTTTAAATGATCACTTGCTTCTTACCTGGGCTCCTTCTGCTGCTCCTGAATGATCTTTCTTCCTGGCCAGACATCACCCATCTGTGTCTGATAAAGGAGGGACTGTCCTACTGTCTCTCTTTTATTCACTTCAAGACAGACAAAAGCATGACAGGGTGGTGATTTTGAGAGGGGAAAAAAGGAAACAATCCTCATAGCATCTTCCCTTGAAACACACCACATTTGCAGAAGGGGAGGTGATCTCTTATATATATAACCAGCCCACGGAGTTAAGACACCACTGCTCAGAATACACTAGGATTCCACACCACAATATTTATCACCCATGTTAAGGTTGGCATGGAACTATGTCTAGAACAGGTCCAGTACCTGCAGGTTTGCGGCGCAGGGACATCCTGATTATCTCACTGCCTGTGCGGTAAGCAAAGCGATTGACTTTCTGGTCATAAAACCAGTCCCCAGTTGCTTTCTTCAGCTCTCTGGGAAGGAAAAAAAAGAAAATGACATATGGATAAAGAATGGCTCTTGCCATACAACCAACAAAAGCTAAGGCAAGAAATTCTCACAACAGCTGGGGCCTCATCTCCTCTCTCTACTCAGCCATAGGTGACACTCACATTTCCTTGGCGCACACCTTGCACCTCCAGATACCGTTGCTCTCCTGAACGCGGCAGTCTCGACACACCAGGTGATTGCAACCCCGACAAGTGTTTGCCTTGGGAGTCAAACGGCCCAGGCTCTCCTGGCACCGGGCACAGGTCCGATCACTATAGTGTTGGCTGCCTCTTTTGGCCCCTTTCCTTTTTATCTCCAGTAACTCATTCTTCAGTCGCCTGCCAAGACCCAAAAGAGAAGCACAAGTGGATTTAGGATCTGCATGCGTTGGATGGAGAGGGGCTGAGGGGTAAAGACAGTAAGACTATTTATTTGGTTCTGTGAAACCAACAAACACAGAGCCCAACTTGACCCAACAAAGAGTGGTAAACATCCTATACACAAGTTTCTCTGAAATTCAGTTGGGAGACATAAGAAAAAGCCCAGATATCATTGGTCAAAGGCTTGGGATCCCATGATTTTTCTGGGACTCTTACCTGATCCTTTTCTCATCTGCTTTCCGGAGCTCCTCATCTCGCTGTAGAACATTAAGGATCAAATCCCTTTCTACTTCAGACAGAAAAGAGAGGTCCAGTATCTCTGACATGACTTATTCTACTTCTTCTACTCTTCTTTCTTCAAAGCAACCAGATAAGGAGAGCTACCAGAGTTGCCTGAAATGAGAGAGCTAATTTCACACAGGTGATGTACTCCAGAATAGGCCCACAGCCCTAGAGCCTTTCAGTAAGCTACTTCTCCCCTTGAGCCAGGCTAAGGAGACACGTCTCCTTAGAAGTACTGGACCTATTTACCATTCAACTCCCACCTGAATCATGCAGTAAAAATGAAGAGGCTTTGATTTTTCAAGAAGAAAACGTTATTCATGAGTCTGGGAAAGGGTTGAGTCTTTTAGCAGAAGCATCTTAGTCTGGAAAGAGCATAGCACAGCTGAGTCAATCTCCCACTCCACCAAGTGAGCCCTCAATCATCCAATTTTTAATACTTTAAATATTCTCAAATCCCAAGTCTATTAACCCAAATAATCAGGCAGCTGGTCTCTGTAGTGGAGGGGAAAAGCACATGAGGACTCCTGCCAGTTTCAGCCAATTTCCCCATTCCCAATCAGCCTCCACGTTCCAGGGATTCAAGTCAGCTTTCTGGTATACTTCAAAACTTCCACCTACTCTACCTCCCAAAGTTCTTATTGCACTACCACTACCTCTAGAATATCTTCCCCTACTTCCTGAATATTTATTAAGCACTGTTCTGACAGGCATTGTGCTAAGTGCTGGGGGATACAGAGATGAGTAAGACACAGTTCCTGCCTTTAAGAATAGCAGGGAAAACAGACAAATACAGTACAACATACTAAGTGCTATCAGAGGGATTATAAACTATGTACTATGGGAACTTGGAGAAGGAAAATAACTAATTCTATCTTGCATAGAGAAGGGAGAGGAAGGGGAAGGAGAGAGACAGAGAGTGCAAGCAAGCGAGAGAGAGCACGAGAGTGAGCAAACGAGCTGTATATATAGGAGCTTTTACAGAAGAGGTGAATTTTGCCTTATTAAATACAGTGCATATTTGTTGGTGGGGAGAGAATGGTAGGAAAGATAGGTTGGAGCCAGATTATATAACTCTTAAATACTTTTAAAAATTTAGAATTTTAAAACTCATTGTATAGACAACAAAAATCAATCAAACATCTTTGGTATTGCTTTTTGATGCTGAGAAATCACATGATTAAGTTCATTTTACAAAAAGCACTCTAGCTATATAGTATGAAAGATTGATTCAGAGGACAAATTGAAGGGCAATTTGGTAGTATATATTTTAAAATAGGCATACTCCTTAACCAAGTAATAACACTTCTAAGAATCTACCTCACAGAAATATTCACACAAATGCTCACACAAGGGTATATGCACAAGAATCTTACTGCAACATTATTTGTAAGAACAAAAAAGAGTTCTTTAACAGAGTCATCATTAAGCTGAGCACTATGGCTCACACCTGTAATCCTAGCACTTTAGGAAGCTGAGGCAAGAGGATTGCTTGAAGCCAGGAGTTCAAGACCAGCCTGAGCAAGATGAGAGACCCTGTCTCTACAAAAGATAGAAAAATTAGCTGGACCTGGTGTCACCGCCTATAGTCCCAGCTGCTCAGGATGCTGAGGCAGGAGGATCACTTGAGCCCAGGAGTTTGAGGTTGCCGTAAACTGTGATGACACAACAGCACTCTAGCTGGGGTGACAAAGTGAGACTCTGTCTCAAAACAAAAAAAAAAAAGAGGAATCATTAAACAAAGTAATGTATCCATGTAGTAGAATACTCTGCAGCTATAAAAAAAAATGGTAGATCTGTACATACTGACATGAAAATATCCCCATGAGTGAGAAAAAGTAGCTATGGGATAATAATGATCTCTTTCATAAAGTATTTATCTAAACATTTATATATGCACAGAGAAAAGTCTAGAACAAAAACTATTATCATTGGTTTCTCTTGGGGAGTAGAATTGGGAAGGGACATCTTTCACTTTTTACTTTATATAGTTCTGATGTGTTTTTTACAAGTATCTCCTTTTACATTTCAAAAAAGAAAACAGTATGAAGGAGGCAGAGCAATTATTACAATAGTCCAGACAAAAGACAACCTAGATTTACTAACTGTGCCTCTAGACAATTGGACAAATCATTTTATTTCTGTTACCCTCTGGTTTCTCATCTACAAAATTACCTACCTCAAAGATTGTTAAGAAAATTAAGTAATGTGTGTTCAAGGGCCAATTACAACATTTGGAACACATATTTAGAGTACAAATACTTGCTGAATGTGCTAAAATGATAAAGGCCTGCACCAGGCAGAAAGAATAAACAGAGAATAGGTTTGAAAAGTAGGATTGACAGAATGAAACGACTGGGTAGAGAGATAAAGGAGGTGAAGTCAAAGATGTCTAGCTCACATGTCTAAGTTAAACAACTGACTAGTGATAGCCTTCATAGCAATAAGAGATATAAGAAAAGAAAACAGGTTGAGGCCGGGCGCTGTGGCTCACGCCTGTAATCCTAGCTCTTGGGAGGCCGAGGCGGGCGGATTGCTCAAGGTCAGGAGTTCAAAACCAGCCTGAGCAAGAGCGAGACCCCGTCTCTACTATAAATAGAAAGAAATTAATTGGCCAACTGATATATATATAAAAAATTAGCCGGGCATGGTGGCACATGCCTGTAGTCCCAGCTACCCGGGAGGCTGAGGCAGAAGGATCACTCGAGCCCAGGAGTTTGAGGTTGCTGTGAGCTAGGCTGACGCCACGGCACTCACTCTAGCCTGGGCAACAAAGCGAGACTCTGTCTCAAAAAAAAATAAAAAAAAAAAAAAAAAAAAAAAAAAAAACAGGTTGAGAAGGAAGGCAAAAAGTTTTATTTTAATTATATTAAGTTTGTGTTGCATACTGGATATCCAGGTTAATCGGGCCCAGGAAGTAGTTGAAGACACAGGGCTGGACCTTAGGAAGAAAAACTGTATCTGAAAATACAGCTTTGGTAGTCATGGAGTTGAAGAGCCCAGGGTAGATAGAGAGTGGAGAAACAAGGAAATAAGAATAATAAGGAAATAAGTATCACACCTACCTTCTTTGCTTTCTCCTGAAACTAGACAATAAGCTCCTTTATTTATTTATTTACTAATTACCTATAAGATAGTAGAAAGCACAAACAACACAGCAATACAGCTTTCTAAAACCTCAATATTTTCTCAACTTGTCTATTTCCTGGGCCTTATTGATATGCTTAAATGCTTATATTGATATGTTTAAAGGCCTATAATATGCTAAGCCTCTTTCACAGGCCCCTCTTAGATAATCTTGAGGAAGTCTTCTTAGTTCTTATCCCCAAGGACAATATATATTCTCTACAAAAACAAGGACTTTTTCAATATTCTCCTATGTGCTTGACGCAACATCTAACAGAGTATCTGGTACATAGTGTTGTATATGCTGCCAATATTGTTGATCATCAACACTGTCATGGTCACCCTAACAGTTCCATTTATTGAGAATTTGCTATATGCCAAACAAGTGGTTTACGTACATTAACTAGTTTGATCCTCACAACATCAAAAGTGAGTGACTATTATTACACCCATTGAATAGATGAGGATTTAGGAGAGGTTAGGCTAACTTGCCCATGAATAAATAGCAAGTAGGTGAAGTTGCTGAGATTTAAGCCCAGACAATCTGATTCTAGAACTAGTGCTCTACTGGCTCTGTCCAGGCAGGCTCATGGTCCAAGCAATTATGAAATATTGAACACAGCAATCAAAAGCATTGTGGAAATGAATTCCCACATGTGTGATTATGACTGAAACACTGGGCAAAAAATCAGTGGCTCCTGGAGAAAATAGGTATTACCAGTTGCCTGTCAGCTAAAAACCAAGGACAGAACAGGCACACTGGAAATAAGAATGATGCCAGATTTATTAGCAAACTGGTGCTTATAGAGAGGTAGCATAGTATTGTGATGAAAAAGGAACATTAGCATAATGATGAGACCAAGTAATATCAAAGGCCCAGGAGTAATAAGAGCCTTGAGAAAATAAAGATAGCACCATAAGAAAATGCAATTGCTAACACTGTACATCTTCCCTTCATTTTTCATTTGTGGACCTCACCAACCATAACTTCCCCCTTCTGAAATCTTACATCCAAGAATCCCCACTTTCCAACTATAGCTCACTCCTACTATACCTGTTCTTCAACCCATCAAGACCACAGTCTCTTGAGCCCTCTATTTTCTCTTGGTCCACTTGCGTCCTGGTGGCTCAACATCTGAACCACTCTCACCAGTACCTTCCATATCCATGTACCTTCATTCCTCTCCCACAACTGCCCACGAAAATCCCAAACCTGTACTAATGCTATATATAGCCTGCTTTGTCTGCTGCCATACTCACATGCTACATTATTTCTGGTCTAAAACCTCAGCTGGACCCTCATTGTCAGCCACAAATCCTCTAACTTGCATTTGTTCAGTTTCCTTACCTAGTCCCTACAGGTTCCATTTTAAGCCTTCATTCATCTCACACTTCCACTTCTCTTCCCTCCAGTCCCATCAGACATCCTTGCCTCATACATGTAAAAAATTATATTTTTTTATGTCCATCTGACACGGATTCTATCAGCTTCCAGCCTCCTTTCCCCTATCACTTGCCAATCTGACTCCTTTCAGAAAAGCCATATCCCACCGCCAGCCCCACCTTCCACCATGGTTTGCTGCTGTCTCCAACACTAACCCTATTTCAAGACAGCTTCCTAGAGATGAAATCTTGCAGAATCAGTAGTGAGGATAACAAAATAGATTGGGAACAAAAGTTAAAAGGCAAGAAGAACAAAAAGCACAGAAAAAACTGAGACAACAGAAAACAAAAGTTAAGATGGTAAAAAACAAGTTCAAATATATCAATGAATATAAAACTCACTCATGAGCAAACTCAACCTTTAAAATATAGAGAGAGGCCGGGAGCGGTGGCTCACACCTGTAATCCTAGCACTCTGGAAGGCCGAGGTGGGCAGATTGCTCGAGGTCAGGAGTTCGAAACCAGCCTGAGCAAGAGTGAGACCCCGTCTCTACTATAAATAGAAAGAAAAAATTAATGGCCAACTATATATATAGAAAAAT